ACAAACATAGCGAGCAACTGAGCTACTAGTATATGTCCGTGTTAAAACACACGAAAGGACTCTAAAGCACACTTCACTCTGATTGGGCAGAAAAACACAAAGATTTTCTGGCACCAATCAGATGGCAGAACCACTGCGACCGTTTGGAACTAGTCTTGTAAGACAATGTCCCCAGGGGCTCTTGATGCCCTAACTTGAAATCGACTCAGCCCCTGGGTCTCCGAGGATGGATAAACTTGGGATTAGTAACCTCTTAAGATCGCGCAACCTGTTAAAAGTTCATTTTAGAAGGAATCGTTCCGTGCTAAATTGTTCCCTCGCTGACCGGCGTTTCATATGATTTTGCCAAACGGATGCCCAATTGAACTGCCACACCGTGTTTACGAGTGATGAGGAATAATCTGCTGGATATCGTCAGAGAAGTAAGTGGTCGATGATATGCGATTAATCACTGTAGTTCGCTTATGTTGTAGTTTGCCCTTTAGTTTGCCCTATCTAATATTAGGCAACGTTTTCCTTAATAGATCGAATAAAACCAGAAATCATTTATATGGTTTGCGTCATCCAGTGGATTAATAAGCCCCTTTTTCTCCCCGGATCAATGACTAGAACCCATTCACCTTTAAAGAAATAAACACAGTATTCTATATCTCGTAGGTTTTGGCATTTAAAAAGTATATTTAAGCTGTCAGCAATTTTATTCCGATACGAAATAAAACGGTAATTCAAAATACCTTTCTCTATTCTCCATCCGTAAGTCTCTGGCGACGGCAGCCCGGAGTTCGGTACCTTGTCATTGTTCCATGTCATCGTTCGGTAATGAGCTCGCAATATAGCCTCTTTCAATGAAGCTTGCGTTGGAGTTAGTCTTTCTGATTGGGCTTGCTTCTTCCGGAAAAGCAACCATCTTAGGTCTTCCACCTTGGAAATGTGCATCCTGGGCTGATACAGTTGGCACACTAATTTTTCAGTAGCGGCGAGGGTGCTTGATGTAGGGTGCGAGGCTGTACCCAGATCGGCAAGTGCTTTGACGCTATCTTCATCAGCTTCGATAAATGTGTTCCAGCAGGTCAGCTTCCCTTTATCTGCGAAGCTTTCGGTAACATCGGCTCCACTCCAGGCATGAAACCCAGGAAGCACCGCAGTTCTATCAGGTCCAAGAGCACAAACGATAGGACTCAGAAGTATCTTTCGGCGGCGGTGCCCTCTCCCGGTCACAAATGAGGAATTCTCACATAGCTCTGGGAGGGGCTTGAGAGACAGGACAAAGACGTCGGTGTTTGGAGATACGATTTCGATACTCGTAATGCCCAAAGTTGTAGCATCTACGGCATGCAACAGCATTCTTCTCTTGGCGCCACCTTACAGCAAGGGTGTGGTGACGGTTTGGCGGTTTTGATAAACTACCCGCCATCAGTTTGGCGTGCTCTGCTAGCCTTGCCAGCTCGGGTGCGATCAGAAAGAACTTGGTGTGGGCGTTGGAATTTAATGTGATACCAACTAGCCCCCCCCCCCCCACTAGAGACTTTCATCGACCGGTTGCCATGCTCAAGGGCGTTATCTGGACCAGTAGCACAGAAGGGTACATGGGAGTTCTTATTCACTACCGAGTTTCCTTGCTGAAACTCCTCTTAAACCTCGGATCTGATTCACTGAACATCTGCATATCTGCTACGTACACTGGAACCATTCGAGCGTAGTTGATAATGTCATGCGTCAAGAACTATTTAGTGAATATCTCGAGAGCCTGCAAATGGAGTGCTTAATTTCCCGTTCCAACCGCCCGTATGAATTGCATCATCTCCATCACCATTCTCATGTAGTGGCGCACGACTTTAAATAACAAAAACGTTTCTCTCTGAACATCAAATGGCTCCATCTTCTCCGCGATTTGCGCTGAATCTATGGTTTGAACTAGTTTTTCGTGTACCTCTTTCATTTGATCGTTGTCTTCGATACAAACATCAGCGAGCTGCTTTTCCAACTGCTCAAGACAGTGGTGTGAATTGGGATGATACTGAAAGAACGCTTCCTGGTACAATGGGAAGTGCATGTAGGGTAGTAATGTGGGCACTTCCCCTCTTTTTACGTGGTTGCTCTCGATGATTTTTTTCACAGTTGCGGAACCGTACAGTTCCGACTCTATCCAGCACATGTCCAGTCCACTGTTGTCGATGAACGCTCCGATCGCCCGTAGCTGGGGTATTAATATATGTAGTTCGCCAGGACGTAAAATTATATGCTTTAATTCCTGGCGAGCCATTTGCAGCCTCTTTGCGGGTTGATAGAGCCCCATGTCGAGCGAAATAACCGTCTGCAGTAGCTGGACCTACCACCTTTGTCTTGATATTTTGGGCCTGAGTTAGAACAGTCTGTAGGGTCTGCGACTCGTGCGCTGACAAAGCAATCAGAGGTGGTGTTCTTACTCGTGTTACAGGTGATGCATCACTGGTTAGTGAGTTGTATCCAGACCAAACCAGAATATCTGTAGTCTTTGCAGGCTGATTCTCCGACCCTGGAATACTCGTGATGTTGCTTTGCGTTTCTGCTGTTTACATACTGTCAGTTGGAGCTCTGGTCAAAGTACGTCCAAGCAGCCATGCAAAGTCTTGCATCCTGATCTGTAGCGGAAGTTCATTCTCAGCAAACAGACCAAACGTTAACTGTGGGTAAACGGGCTCGACGGGCTTCGAATGAGGCGTAGGACATTCTAGGAGGCTTAAATTGATTCAGGAAGCTCTCCTATTGAGCGAATCTGGTCTGGGGTGTCGATATTCAAGTCGGGTATTTTATTATTAGGGTCACTCCTCTGCTATATAGTAATTGCTGAGTCATGAAAATTGCGCCTCCCATCAGGGGTGTCTTCGGCGGAGTCTATATTGTCGATAGCAAAAAACACATACCTCCCCATCGCTATGTCGGGGGTAGATATACATTTTGAGCAAGACTCACTGCGAGCTTGTGTACCTCACTGAATTTCTTTTCAACTGAGAGCAAGCTGTTTGGATCTTTAATTACCCATCTGAAGAAACTGTACAGCTCCACAGGCAGATTTTTATCGGAAAGGTTTTCAAGAGATCCAGAGAATTTCCATTCCTTACATTTTAATATGGATTTTCGGAGTAATGCAGCAGCATCGAACAAAGTTTTCATCCCATGATCACTGTTGGCAATGTGCTCTTCAGTCAGTTGGACTGCAGCATCTCTTGTCTGTTTTATGCTTACTCTTTCAGATTCATTTACTCGTTTGCTCCTTTGGAACTCTAAACCAGGTACTTAATTCCGGAATAGCTGTTTCAGTGTCTTTCGGTTGCATGTTGGATCGGCAACATTGTTCGCTTTTAGAATGCTTTCAAAAGTAGCTTGTAGCTTGGTCATGGTTGCGACTTTACCATCTTTCAATGTCATCTCTGTTATTGTTAGAAATTCTATCTTAGCTGTAGTCTCGCTTGCTAATCGACAACTAGAGTCATCAAAACTTTCTCGTACGAAGTAGGATTTTCAACAAGACTTTCATTCTTTTATTTCTGGCAGGTGATACATAAATTAAAAGCTAGGTTCTTCTTGGCTTTTACAAATTCAGAACCAGAGGCGTCTACCATAATAGACAAGAGTGCATGACGTCGGACCTCTAAATAGATGATAAGGGCAGCTGGCCAAGAATACCGTAGTTTCATCTATTTAACCTTATTGATGGATTGATACTTTACTGTACGAGTAAATAAGGGGAATGTACCATGCTGCTACTTGCAATTTAGGAAATAGAAAAAAAAAGAGTGACATTGGTATGGTATAGAGAAACCATGCACTCAGGTGTCCAATACCCAATTTTTGATCAGATCAAGAGATCTCGTGAATCCCAAAGTCAAGTAACTGATCACAGTCTAAAGTGTACTTAAGGCCTAACAAAGTAACAGTCATGTATTTCGTTGATTTGGGTGAACTACACATCTCATATCAATAAGCTTTGAGGCATTTCAAGGTTCAGCCTCGTTTCCATGCTATCATGGTCACATGATCAGTTTTATTGCTTTAATTTTTTATATTCGAATAAGTAAAGATTTGGTAAAACATTTGACAATGAAAAACTGCGATAAAATATTATAAAGCATGACACGACGTTTCGACGTTTCCAGAACGTCATTATCAAGTAAACTAAAATAATAAAATCGAGCATATATATAATGAAGCGGTGAATAAATTACAAAACGTTAAAAGTGACAAAAAAACTATATATAAGCTCAAGGAAAGGAACATTAGCACTTACATAACAGTCCCGCTTGTAAGAATTGAACCAAAACGAACTTCAATATAAGTTAGGTATTCGGAAGCGAAACGGGAAATCCAAACAGACACTTACTCTAACACAGAAAACTGTAGTCTTACGGCAAACGACAACAACCAAACGATAAACTAAAAAAAAACTTCAACTACTCTTCTCTAAAAATCGCACACGTCAACATTAAAATGGGTCCGCGTGATTTGCTTACGAGATTACTTCGTAACCTCAAAGCACGCGCACGTGAGTCTCGCGCGCACAAGTTTGTTCACGTCTTCTTAACAGCAGGCAAAAAGTGTGGCAGCCGTTACAGTATTGATAAAGAAAATTCACGCTCATTATCAAGAGCAAACGTAACAAAGGTTTGGGGTAGATAGATAGATAGAAACTTTATTAACGTGTCAAAGAAACTTCTAGTTTGGGAGATATACCATATGTTGTTCCTTACAAAGCCGGGGATAGCCGTTCGAGCGAAGACTGGTAACTAAGTTACTTGACACATTTTCATGGCCATATGCATTTTAGTGTATCCCCACGTGGAACAATTGTCATGGCGCTTTCCTTCAAGGTAATTAATAAGTTATCAAAGGTTGTGAAATAGTCATACTTATGTATTTGGTCATTGAAAAAATATTCGTAGCTCTAATTCATGTGTGTTAAGTTTTCAAATATATTAGGCTCCGTCTATCGACAAGGTAACGTGGTGTTCAGTGCTGATGGCGATTATGTTGTGAGTCCAGTGGGTAACAGAGCATCGGTCTTTGATCTTAAAAAGTAAGTTTTAGTATGAATTTTTAAAATCACAAACACAGAAATATTTTGTTCCATCAATTTTTGGCAGTGGTGTAAAATTGAGTTTAAATTCTTACTTCTAATGCCAAAACACTTTGGTTTTGTGATGTAAACAGACATTCTACAAGGCTTTGTAGATCATTCGTGTCCTTTATTTTCCCTTGCTTTCTATCGATCTTGTAAGTAAAGTGTTTTCTAACTTTGTTTTTTAATCAGTTTACATTCTCTCTTAAAATGACTGAATAATGCTTGTCCTCTTCAGGGGATAAGGTTGATTTGATATGTATACCTTATGGAGCTGTGTTCGTGGTGTGACAGCAAAGGGTTGTCTTTTCAACTCAGAATTTCATCTACATAGCTAACACAGCAGCAGTATGTTGAAACGAGATACAATGAAATATATGAAGTTCATATATTGAACTGCGGTATTAGATATGTATGATGCACGATCCTCGCAGTAGATAGCGCTATTTAAGCAATAGCGAAAATCAGACCTTAAAATCTGACCTGCACGGGACTCGAACCACTGACCTCTGCGATACTAGTGCAGCGCTCTACCAATTGAGCTAACAAGCCAACTGGGAGCAGGCCGTTAAGTTGATTCGTAATAAACCCGTGAAAGTGATAAATCAGATACAATAACTCTCCTGCATCTATTAACCCGTCCCCTGCATCTATTAATTAGTTAATTTGGCTAGGCAGGGTTCTCATGTGGCATTTATTTAGGGGTAGCATTTATTCATGTGTGGCTTTTATTCCAAACTCATAGATTTATATGGCTTTTGTACCATTACCTTTAATAGTAACAAATCATGGACTCTTCCTTTTGAAAACCAGAAGAACATATCAAGGATTAGTTTGTCTCCAGATGGCAGGATAATTATCGCAGTTGATGAAGGTTAGTATGTGTACAATACAAAGAAAGTATACTACTCTAAATCATGGCCTTTCAGAATTAGCTTTTTCTTTCCCCCTCTCCTTTGTTTTGATAATGTGTAGCCTCTCGTATGAAACTTACATCAAATGAAAGCAAAGATGTAGTAGTGCATTGCGAAAAGGGAAAGGGACTCAAAAGTTAGGTGTAGCTTCTCAGTAATGGAACAGTAAACGAAATAAAACAAGGTAATGTCACGAAGAGTGATTTTTGCTCAGTGATTTTCAGCTGATATGAATGAAATCATGTGAAAATTCCATCATAAAAATGCTAAGAAGTCAAAGTGTATTGCAAAGTTAAAAGTGCGTACAAATACAGTGAAGTTTACTAGATAGATAGATAGATAGCCTTTATTTTAAAACGATGAGTGTTAAAGCTACATGAGCTTGGGGGGTTGTTTGCATTGAACTAATCACTAAACGTGCTAAAAACTAAAACCTAAGGGTATGTAGAGAACGTGTAAACTTTAATAAACCAGGGGTGCTTACGAATGTGGAATTGTAGACATAAATTTAAATATATACAAAATATAAAGTCAACTTTTTTAAAATAACAAGTGGATGTAGACATTATCTTAAAACTGAATTCATTAAAATTAACTAGAGATTTAAGTATCCTCTCTTTGTTTGTAGAAATTTTTAGTTTTTTTGGGTATTTAAGCTTTACATACAACACACCTTCTTCACTCATGGTCAAAAGTCAACTGTACAACAACATAACAATTCATCATGCTTACAAACATGCTCTTTCCTTAAGAGACAAAAACCTTAGCTTTCATTTGGTGTAAGTTTCACATGAGAGGGTACATGTTACCAAAAAGTCAATTCGCATGGTGGCGAGTTTTGTGGTGGTGAGTTTGCTACGGTGGTAAATTGCCCAGATACTGAACTGTGTAACCATGTTTTGAGTCAATTCGTACTTGTAAAGGCGATGGTGACTTTTTATATTTAATTACAGATGGACAGTGCCTCCTAGCAAATTTGAAAGCTAAGACTGTCCTTCATCGTTTCAATTTCAAAAAGCCTGTTTTTGATCTGAAGTTCAGTCCATGTGGAAGGTAAGTGCTAAGCTTCCAGAGGAAGCTGAAGGAATGTGACTGATTGACTGCAGTTTTTTCTGTTATACAGAACATGCTGTTTATATTTTTTTGCACCCCTATGGTTGAGAGTAGCAGAAAATCAAATATCAAGTTTGAGAGTTTATTTTGATATTTCTTGATGATCATTGTCACTTCTCACTTAAAGGCCTGAAAATTGGCCAAAATCTATCAACCCTAACCAACAGGCAAAGGGTGTCTAAAGAATCAGAAATTTTGCCTTCACTAGCTCATTGAACCACTTCATGTGCTCGTGTAGATGCCTATGATGGTGGTTGTCTTCTTATATATGACTTTCTTCTATTGTATTTTACTCTTGGTTGTCCATTTTTAAATTTATGTGAAATATACCTGAGGAAGCCATTGAAGGTCTTGGCCCACTCTAGGCTTTTTCTCCCCAGTTTTTGTATACAACATTTTTGTATTTCTCTTTGATATACAAGTATTAATATTACTCTCCTCAACTGTGACATTTTGTTTAATAGTGAGCTGACCAATAACATTTAAGCAATGAATGGTCACATAACCAAATAGGACCTGAGCAGCTCCTGCCTGTCAACCATCATGCCTTGTGGGGTTGCTTACGAGGCATTCATTAAATTTAGTTTGGTAATAGTGAAGTGGTATATCTGGACTAAACAAGGATAATTCAATAGAGATGTGTATAATTATCTGTGGTTTAAGTGATTGTTGGCTCTAACAGAATCTGATTGGTATGTCACCTAGTTTGAATCTGCCTTTGCAAAAAGACTATTGTAAAGGAAATCCAGTCTTCAAAAATTGACAGACCTGTGATCTTGCTTTTTTGATAGGTTTATAGCAGTAACACATGGGAAGCATATCAAAGTTTGGCATGCTCCAGACCAAAGTAAAGAGTTTGCACCCTTCTCTATTCACCAAACTTACACAGGTCTCTATGATGATGCTATTTGTATTGACTGGGCGTCAGACTCAAGGTACTGTAACTAATTGCAAAAAATTGCAAAATAATTGTAGATTGTGCTAGGCTACAAAGTAGCTGAAGTACAATGAGAATTCTACTATTGTTGCACGAAGAATTCACTAATTGGTCTTGGCCCTAAATAAATAAAAATACCAAAGTCATTAAAAGCAAAAATAATTGGCACAGAAGAGATTTTCCCCAAAAGGACAGTCATACCATATATGGTCCAAGCAATCCCATAAGCCTAAGCATCAGTATCAAACTGGTGGCCATTGAGCTTTGCCACAACAAGATAGACATTTTGTTTATTTCCTTTAAACTGCATAACACAAGGCAACAATAATCCTGGAACCAGTAAACAAAATGAGTCCAATCTGTAATGAAATAAAAGGACTAGTACAATGAATATATGAAGTTCATATATTTTGAACTGCAGTTGTAGATATGTATGATGCACGATCCTTGCAGTAGAGAGTGCTATTTATGCAATAGCAAAAATCAGACCTGAAAAAAATCAGGCCTGTACGGGATTCGAACCACTGACCTCTGTGATACTAGTGCAGCACACTACACCCTCTGGAAGAAACTGCACAAATGCCAAGTCCAAGGCATGCAAATCAGACTGTTGCTTGGCACTTGTTAGTGCAAGTAACATTGCACACTTCCTTGAGAGACGTTTGAGTTCTAAATTACTGATAATAGGCCACTTCTCGAACAGGCTAGTAACCAGAGAAACTTCCCAAGTGCTAGAATAACGGGGTTTAAATGGGCTCTTATTGAATACCCCTTTCATGAAGCTACACACAATTTTATGTTGGCCCAAGGGAGTTCTATCCAAGGGTGGAACTGTAGAGCTAATAGCTGATCTGTAAGTATTAATTGTAGAGTACTGTTTACCTTATTCAAACAACTCTGTGAGAAAGTGAACTAAATCACTTACTGCTGGTCGAAAGTTATCAACCTGTTGTTGGTGACACCAGCAACACCACTTAGCCCAACAGGACTTGTACTGAGCATTCGTTGATCTGCGTTAGGCAGAGAGGAGAATATTGGTAGCTTCTTTTGATAGGCCTTCTGAAGAGAGGTGATCCCTGAGACTCTCCATCCTGCTAGAGGCAGGGAGTTATTGATGATCAGGGGATGTCTGTTCCCCAGTGGGTCTAACTGTAGGTTGTTGTGAAATGGAAGCAATACTGGATTGCTTGTTAACAACTGTAGAAGGTGGGGGTACCATGCCTGCACTGGCCACACCGGGCAAACAATCAACAGTGTGGCTCCTTCGACGCTTATTTTCTTCAGACATTTGCTGATCAAGTTGAAAGGGGGGAAGGCGTAGGCATTCTCCTCCCTCCAAGGCTGAACTAGGGCATCGAACTGTTCTGCTAGAGGATCTGGCAGATAACTGTAGAATCTCTCCAGCTGAGCATTGTTCCTGTTGGCAAAAAGGCCTATTGTAAAAGGACCGAAACTCTGATTCAGAACTTTGAACACTTCTGAATTGAGCTTCCAGTCTGCTGCATCTGGCTTTGCTCGAGACTCTGCATCTGTTACGACATTCAGTCAACCTGGAATGTGCTCTGCTCCAAGGGTGATTTTCTTGTTGAGACACCATTCCCAGAGGGTACGAGAATGTTTGTCTAGCACACCCTGTTTGGCTTCCCCCATTTTATTTAGATAAGCTATGGCTGATGTATTGTCCATTTGCATAAGGACCCGATTATTGTTCAGGGATTTGGTGAAGGCGTTGATTGCATAGGTGGCTGCAAGCAGCTCCAGGCAATTTATGTGAAGTGAGGATTCATGGAGGGACCAGGTTCCCCTTGTGTCTATCCTGTTGCACACAGCCCCCCAGCCCGACCCTGAAGCATCTGACTGGATCAGGATGTTGGAGAGGAGGGGTTTCACAAGCCTGGTGTTGGCTGTGGGTAGGTTGTTTTATTCCAGGTCTAACAAGGTCTCAACATCTAGAATTACCTTCTGATGAAGGGGAACTCTCTGGATGTCTAAGGAGTTCTTCTGGTGTTGAAGTGCTCTGTAATGGAGTGGAGCCTGGAATACAGCTGCCTCTGCTGCTATCATTTTGCCAATTAAGTGTGCTAGGTCTGACTGTGAGGCAGTCTTGGAACTTAGAAATCTTCTGCAATCGTTCTGAAGGCTCACAACCTTGTTGTCTGGAAGGGAGAAGCTCATGTGTATAGAGCTGACTAGAACACCTAGGAATTCCATTTCCTGTGAAGGGAAAAGAATAGATTTTTCCATGTTCATAGTAAACCCCAGATTTTCCAGCAGGTGGATCGTTAGAGAGGCATCTCTCAGAGCTCCCTCTCCGAGAATTCAGGATTAGTATGTCGTCTATGTAGATGCATATCCATAGTCCCAGTCTTCTCACAAAAGCCACCAGGGGCTTCAGCACTTTGGTGAAGACCCACGGTGCTGATGTGAGACCGAATGGTAGGCATTTGAACTGGTAGGTTACATTCTGAAACTGAAAGCAAAGTAACTTCTGGTGTTCCGGGTGGATGGGAACAGCAAAGTATGCGTCTTTGAGGTCGATCTTGCACATAAAGTCTTGAGGACAAAGTATGTCTGCAACCAACTTCAAGTCCTCCATCTTGAAATGATAATGGTGCACAAAAGAATTCAGTGAATATAGGTTTATCACTGGGCGTTGCCCTCCTGCTCTCTTTTCCACAAGGAAAAGGTTGCTGTAAAAGAGTTTCCTGTGGTGAGGGACACTTGCTATGGCTTTCTTGTCTAAGAGGCTGATAATCTCGTCCTCTACTAGGGCAAGCTGACTGGGATTCAAGTGATGAGGGAGGGCAGTCTTAACTGTCTGTGACTCCCTGTTAGTTCTAGCCTGTGACTCCCTGTTAGTTCTAGCCTGTGACCCCTTATGGTGTTGAGGGTCCACTGGTCTGATGTTAAGAGTTCCCAATTCTGGAGAAAATACTTTAGCCTCCCTACCCTCGGAATGTTCTCCAAATTGATGTAAGCAAAGGGAAGAGGGGAAGGTGAATGAGTAGACAGAAGGCTTACCTCTGTTTCTCCTGTGTGTAGTTCTTGTTGGGAGCTTGCACGGACTGCTTGTTGGACTTCTGTCCAAATGTGAGCCTTTGATCGTCCCCCCCCTCCCCCCCAGGTAAGGCTTTCCTTGGGAGGGGGCCCTCTGAAAAGGCTGGTTATTATTGTAAGGCTTTTTTTTTTTTTTAATTTTGACTGCCTTGATTTCCAGAAGGCAAACGGGCTGAGTGAGAGGAATGGTCATTGTGCCCTTGAGTGTTTGATGAACTGTTGCCACTACCAGAATTCTTTCTGCTTGCATTTTTCTTAATCTGAGGCTGGATGGCTTTGGAAACTTTTTCAGCCAGTTCACCAACAAAGTTAAGTTCCTTGGCTTTAGATTCACCAAAGAGGAACTTCTGCATAGAATCAGAGTGTTTACCGAGCTCAGTGATGTCAGTAATATGTACATAGACTTAACAATATCCCGACGTCTATGTTTGTTTACAGTTGCCACAGCATGCCCCAGCAAGCTTAGGCTCTTGAGAACCAAGTTAATTGCCTCACCGACCTGTACGACCTGTGGGTCCTTCTTTAAGTGTTGGAGAAGGATGCAAAGTGGACCCGCTGCGTCTATATAGTTTCTCTGCTTCACTTGGAGATCTTGTTCCCAGCAAAGACTAGCTAGAGACTGCTTACCTTGAATAAGGACAAGCCATTTGTCAAGTTCCGGCATGTGGAGAGCGGGAACATCGGGCTTGGGGAACTGTTTGACGAGCTCGTTGTGTGCTTTGTCCTCCATACATGAACGGAAATAAATATCAATTATTTTCTTGAGGTCATTGTTGATGTTCCACATACAATATTAAGTATTCGTAGAGCCCAAAGGTGGTGGAATCTTATCAACCACTGTCACTTTCGAAGCATGTTTCTTAGCTTCCTCTTTTGCCGCCAATAATGCCGAGGCAAAGGGATCTTTAGAAACATCTGAAACCTTAGCGACTTGGTTTAAAGGTTCCTTATCTGCAGCTTGGTGCTGCAATGCTCAGCTGACTTGCTGGGTAGGCTCGCTTTCGGCTGGCTAGCTGTTGGGTGGAAATTAGGCAGGAAACCGTTCAATGACAAACAGGTTTCTTGCAAGGCTGACTGATCCTGAGAGGCAACAGTTAGTTCACCATCTTCCAGCGTAAAATCGCCATGAAACGATCCCCTTGGGGATGCAGGTGTCTCATCATCAGGTTCCAAGCCCGTAGGCTCGTGATGAGATAAAGGTTCATCATCCATGATCGCCAAAATTCTCAACACAAAACACTGCAAAACAAATTTCTTCACGCAAAGTGAAAATGGCCACCAGTTTGGTACTGATGCTTAGGTTTATGGGATTGCTTGGACGATATATGGTATGACTGTCCTTTTGGGGAAAATCTCTTCGTGCCAATTATTTTTGCTTTTCATGACTTTGGTATTTTTATATATTTAGGGCCAAGACCAATTAGTGAATTTGGAGTGCAACATGCTATAGAATTGCTATTTGAATAAGTGTATATATTTATAATTCAAAGACATACAAGTGTTATAATTCTAACCAGTCACCTATAACTGACCTAAGTAATAGTGCTAACTTTCCTAAGTTATGAGAGAAAGAATCAGTTTCTTTAGTTCGTTTCAATGAAATGTGACTCCTTAATAACTGGTGCCAAATTTCGATCAGTGGTGACTATCACAGAACATTCTACTGCATTTAGACTATCTCCATGCTTGCTGGTTCAGCAACCGCTCAGGACTGTATCTTTCACCTTTCTTTTTTTTATTGCATTTGCTTGTTTGTCCACCACAGTCATTCAACTCATTCTATGCATTCAATCCATTCTCCCCTCAGGTTACAATATTCAGTAGTTTTATCGTTACCATGCGTAAATACCCAAGCTACATATGTCCAGCCATAGACAATCGACCATAAATAGTTTTAAAGAGCTTGTTGTCCATTCAAGAGAGTTGTCAGTCTTGCATGTAGAGAGTTAATTTGTAGTAAAGTTACTGAAAAATGGTAATTGATATCTATGTCTAAGTTCTATTTTTGTGGATAGGTTTTTTGTGGTTGGCAGTAGAGACATGACTGGTCGCATCTTTTCATTATTTCCTGTGAAGAATTTTGTCCCAGTCACACTGTCAGGACATCGAAATACTGTAATAGGTTGTTATTTTGAAAACAAATGCTTAGATGTATCCTTTTTACCCACTCCAACTACAGAATTTATGTTTCAGATAATACAGTTTGACTCCCTCTGGAAAGGGCATTGAAAAAATGAATTTTAAGGTGTTCGATAGTATTCTCAGCCAAACTTTGTATACCATGTCAATAACATAATCTAAAATTGCAAAAATTTAAATATACCTAAGAAAAATTTGCATTTTCAATGAAGATGCAATTTCTCCATAGGTATATTTTGCAATTAGCTTGGTGTGTAAAAACTGATGGAGTACCCTTAGAGTTTCACCATCAAAGGATTGGATGAAAATGCCATAGTCTTAGATTTCTCAGAGCATGTTTCACCCCCCTCCCCCCTGTAAATGGCTGAGGGGGGAATCATTGTTGGAAAGAGAAGAAATGAAACAAGTTTTGTAGAAAGAATGGGTGTTGCTTTGTTTCAACAAGAGAAGATCCCCAAGTGTTTCTTTTCCCTTTAAGATACTTAAAGAGTGGAACTCTAGTTTTGACGGGAATGAGTCCATAATCTATTTTTAAGCCAAAACTTCCGTGGCAATGCTCAAAGTAAATCCATAGTAAGTTGTTTCACACAAAGTATGAAAGGAAAGTTTTGTTTGACCATTTCTAATGCTCAAGCCTTAGTGGCCTTTATTATTAAGTTGCTCATGATTTTATGTTTAACATAAACTGGCAAAAGTCTGTTATGGAAATATCTCTGAAAAAGTGTTGTAAAGGAGAAATCAAAATCAAAAAGGTAAAATTCAAAATCAAGAAACTAACTTTTGAAATTGATTACTCCTCACGGGAACATGGATGTAAGTCTATCAGATCATTTTAGCAGATGGCTATACACCTCCATTACTTTTGAATACCAGTGCTAGTAATTTTTTTGTCTTCAGTTGATTTCATACCTTACCTTGTGTTCTATCTCTATAAGGATGATATCATCTGTGCTGTTTAGCTCACAGTGTGTGTTTTATATACTGACAGATCTACTTAACACAAAGTACATTAAGTCACGTTTCTGCAAAGAACTCTAAGAGAATCAGTTGTTGAGTTTATTTTTAGCGGTGTGTGGTCAAATTATCTTAGAGAATATGATATTTGATGGTTGGTACTTGACATGATTAAACAAGACGTACACAGTGAGTCGTGATGGGGCGCTATTTATTTGGAAGTGCCATGGATGCATCAAGGATTCACAAGTTTCTCTTGGTGAAACAGATTTCAAACAAGGTAATAGCTAGTCTGATCCTCACTTCTAGATGTTAGTAAGCAGTAATCCTGAGACCTGTAAAGGAAACCTGTCGATTAACTTTCGGTAAAAGTTTCATAGGGGAAATCAACCTCAAAAAAGAGTGCTCTATTATCCCTTTAACGCCCAAGATCTGATTGTTAATTCTCCCCTCTAGCTACTATACATTTCCTTGTAAATCAGTTTTGAGAATTAGATGTTGAATCAAGATTACAACTTCTACCTGATAAGTTTGAGTCTTCTCATGACCCATTTGCTGAATATTGTATGAATAGTATAGGGAGAAATTACATGATAATCACTTTTGGGAGTTTAGTATGAAGATTGCAATGTACAATATAATTTGAACTCAGCAATTTTGAATAATTTCATACAGATGTTCTGATAATTTGATATATTTAAATGATTACATTGAAGGATGTCATTTTAGATCAATATTTTATGTCAATTTCACTGTGCAGGTGAATCTTTTTTACCCATCACTTAATTTAATATTTATTTGTCTCCACATGTATTGCCTCATATTGAAATTATATCCTGGGAGGAAGTGGGAAGTAGTTATAAATCAGCTGTAGATGCATGCTTGCATGAATATTCCAATTGACATTACTTAAGATTTCCTGAGATAACCATCTGATTAATTTTCAATTTTCATCCTTATCCGAAATTAATCACATCCACTTGAGTCAGGTGATATTTTCACACTCAATGGTCATTAGGACTTCTGGTCATAATGTTGGTTTATCTTGTCAGTTTTTTCTTATCCTATGCAATTCAATCTTAGCTGAGTAGTTATTGAGGTATTAACAATTTTCCTGACTAAATGTAAGCCATTGTTAAAGAGTGCTCCAGTTACTTAGTTGACTAGACAACACATTTGTTGATCATCCATCATATTATCAATCTAAATTATTTCTATGAACCAGCTTTCTGTAATTTGTGAAACAAACAAAACAAGATGAAAATCTGTAATTTGTGAAATAGAAATATTAAAAGAAAAATCGCAAACATGCCTGAAACTCAAGAAAACTAAGGAGCTTACATATTTCAACATCTGCAACATTTTTTCAGCCAGGAAAGTGTTATGTATACAAATACATGATTTATGTAAATTAATATATACAGTACAGCTAGCTAGAGTGGCAGCTAATATTACAAATTACATTATTTTGCTCATTATGGTTTAAAGGTGCCACTGACTTCCACATAGACAACACATTCATTTATTCACAGATGTAGTGAAGATTTGGCAAATTACTGATTTTTATTTCGCAAATTAAAGATTTCTATTTATTATGCAAATCTTGAACAGATTTTTGTGTGACAAATTACAGCTTTCTATTTATTTTGCAAATTATTGATTTCTATTTTGCAAATCACTGATTTATAACAGGCAGATCGTTAACAAATTTCTACATTGCAAATTATAGATTTTCATTTTATTTCATTCTCTTTATGATTATCTAAACCAGCATGGTGATGCATAGTTTTAATTTCCCTGTTTTTGCAGGCGATGAAAATTCTCTTCGGTGGAAAAAGCAGACTAAGTAAGTAAGATCCCATTTTGAATAACTTTTTCCTTTTTTCGGTTCAACACAGATTTGGGGATTGACTATAATTAAGGAGTATTTGTCTGGGTTTACCCACACTGAGTCAGGATCTGTTGTTTGTGGGTTTGTTTGTTAAACTTTGTGGGTAATTCATTTGATTTTTAATAAACATTCAGGCACATGGTTTCACAAGAGGGTGTGGAATTATTAATTTTCCACAAGCATAGGTGGCCCCCATATTGCATGTAGATGCAAAAACATTGTGATTACTTAAAGGCAGAATAATGTAGATATTAATTAATTTTGTGGAACTGCCTAAAGGGTTAGTTGAATGCTTCAACTAACCTAAAGGATTTCAAGTAAGTTCATTGTTTTTTGCATGAAAAGCAATTTGCTGGTGTGCAAGTGAATACCAATTTTCTAAGCTTGGGCATATAAAATGATTAGATCCTCCAAACTGTACTCTCTGTTAACTTATTGGTTAAGCTTGAGTCATGCCTGAGAGGCAGGAATGATAACACTTGGGACAAATTGCTGTAGTCCAACATATTAGTACAAAAAGTGACATGGGACTTGCAACCAGTATATTTTTCCATATTGTCTGTATAATGGTGTATGCCTTCCCTTTTCCTCACTCTCTCAAATTAATTTTGAGATTTATTTAGAGTTCAAGATTGTTTAGAGGAAAGGGGCTGCTTCTAAATTGAATGAAAAATTTTTTATTCATGACAGTTAATGAAAGGACTCCGTCAACAACCTTATCCAAGTTCCAAATACCTTTGTTATTGATTTTCATGTAACTGCACCATTAGAAGTGGTCTAGTTCCTGTGTAGGAAAGTTGTGTTCTGGCAATAATGTGCTCTTATTATCCAACTACACCTAGACAAGTACAAATAACACCATAGACAAGTACAAATATCACGCGGTATTTGTACTCGTCTATTGTAGTACCGGTTAAACAGGTTTTCTCGCATCACGCAAGTAGATTGTATTGGATTGTAGTTATGAAAAAAAAAAAAAAAGTGGCGGACAATTTGAATCATATTTCCGACAACGAAGAGTCAGAATGGCTGGCAAATATAGGTCCAAGTTGATTAGATGAATCGAACAAAGAANTACTTCTTTGTACATTTTTTAAGTATTATACCCTTTTTAAAGGATTAAAACATCTAGAATTATCATTTTATTTTGTAACAGATGTTGATAAAACAATTTGACATTTCTGGCAACCTCTCTTTGGATGGCATGAAGGTAAAAATGGAACCATGTTAGATAAAGAGCCAGGTATTTCTTTTAGCAGTTGGTAGGGGTTTTAGTAGGATTCAGAGCCGGATTTCATCATTACATGTATTTGGCACTCTTGTACAGCTTACCCATGGCTCGAAGAACCTATCCCATTGGGGGGGAGGAGTCAGAGCCTTAAATTGGCATCTAAAATACACATTATCTTATTAGATGTTTTGTTGTGTAGTATGGCTGAGTATTTTTACTCGTTATTTGTATTTTGATAGGGCTCGTCAAAATACGGCACAACTCTTAATAATACTCAGCGATACTTCACAACAAAACATGTAATAAGATATATCTATTGTGCCTAACAAATTATATGCCTTTGAAACCTCTGTTTCCTATTTTCAGATCATGTTGAGCTATGAAATTAGATATACATTTTTTGTTTATAGATAGATGGGCTTTCCTTAGTCAAGATAAAATGAAAAGCCTAATGTGTACTTCATCGCATTATTTTATTGATTATAGGCACTATTACAATCAGGGTGGCTCTGCTGAACTGACAACGACTGCATTTCACAAGGCCTCCCATCTCTTAATAGCTGGATTTTCCACTGGCTTGTTCACACTGCATGAAGTACCAGACTTTATTCTTATCCACACCCTAAGGTATTTAAAAGTTCTGTCTATTCATCTTATGAAGTGTATACAAGTATGCAGTTAATGAAATGAGTGAAAGTGGGATACAGTTGGTTCAATTAACGCTTAAATGTGCATTATTTTGTGAGTTGTAAGTAGTCCTGTGGTCAGTGCGCTAGACTCTGGGTCAGATGGCCTGGGTTCAAGTCCTGGCCGGGGCTTGACGTTGTGTCCTTAAGCAAGATGCTTCACTCACATTGCTTCATCTTCTCGGATCGGACGTAAAGCTGTCTCCTGCATCTATCAATTAGTTAATTTCGGCAGGGGACGTTAAGGAACCCACATCACGAGATTGCTGTGATGTGGTCTGGCCTGTTTACTGGGAATGGAGGGAGGGGGCATCTGTAAAATTTCTTCTTTATTTATTGTAAACTGCTGCCGGCAGTCTGGAAAAGTCCCCCGCACAGTGTTGTAAAGCGCATTAGAGCATTTACATGGAAATGCGCTATAGAAATTGATCTATATTATTATCTATATTATTATGCATATAGTAAATGAGTTACTTCACGGTCAGTTGTCCCATGCTCTGCTCCTGCTCCCATGCTCTGCTCCTGCTCCCATGCTCGGCTCCTGCTCCCATGCTCTGCTCCTTCTCCCATGCTCTGCTCCTGCTCCCATGCTCTTCTCCTGGAGAGCATAGGGTATCAGCCATGGACCTCCACCAGACTCTATTTTTGGAAGTTTTCTTTATTGCTTCCCTCCAGGTGATATTCTTACCAGCAAACTTGTCTTCTACAGATTGCTTGCAGGACTGATTTGGACAGCCTCATATTCTGGAGCCCCAAGGGTTTCATTATTTTATAGGCAGTATGGCTGTTATTACTTGCAGGCTTCTGGAGTGTACATGTAGGCCCTACCATTCCCATTTTCTTCAGTCAGTACTTTGGTCTATACAGCTTTGTTGTGTCATTTCCCATAGGTCTTTATTTGAAATCACCTCTGGCCATTAGATATTCTGAATCTGCCATAAATACTCATTGTTGAATGTCTGAAATTTCTTGGTTGGTAGTTTTGTCCACCTCCATGTTTCCAAGCATTATAAAAAGACAGGTTTGTACTGAAAATACTGAGCTTTGTTCACAATCCGAAGACTTGCATAACCATTAAGAATGGCAATTGTGCTTTCTCAATCCTGTCTGATGTGTCCTTGTCAGTTGCACCAGTTTATTTGATAGCACTTCCAAAATATGTGACTAAGACACTGTCAACTTGCTCTTGACATTCCAAACTTAAAGATTCCTGTTGTCTCACATCAATTTATTTGCATCTCCTTTGTTTTCTGGATGTTGATTTTGAACCCCACCTGTCTGCCAATCTTCTGTAATCTTTCTCCTTTCACTTTCATATTGGTCTGTGGGTGAGGTAGCACATTCAGCAAATCCTAGTCTTTCAGGCATTGGGTCAATGTCCACTTGAGTTCCTTTATTTTCAGGCCACCTCTCTACTGTTCTGTGGTTGCATTGAATGCTTGTATACCTGTTATCAAGATACTCCCCCAAAATCAAATCACATGTATTTTGTTTCTGATTCCTCTGTTACTAACTGTGTGCAAGTTTGTTCTTACTTCTCTCACCTGATTGTTAAATAGAGACATATTCAGACCCCTGTTTATTTCCCTTGTACTCATTGTCAGCATTTCCAGGTTTTAATCATTTGTTTGTTTTCAATTTTAGGTTAAACTGTGGAACATGATGTCAGGTTTCTGTTTTGTCACATTTAATGAACACGGCTGTGCTGTCACAGGTGTTGTTTTTACACCAAGCAGTCAAGTACTGTTAAGTTGTTCCTTGGATGGTACTGTCAGAGCATTCGATCTCAACAGGTACACTTTAAATCACCCTCTATGATATGGGACCCCTAACCCTAACCCCAAGCAATAGTTTTTTTTCTCTTTTTTTTTTTGGACATTATTGTAGTTTAAATGCAAGGAAAATACAAATTCAAGATAATTATGTATACATGTACAATTCATCTTTGGATAATTATTGTCCACAGAGATGTGAATTTCATAGGGCTGGAAGCTGGAAAAGTCAGGTCATTCTAAACCAGGCCTAAATATGACAAGTGTCCTCCTCTTTTTCAATCATGAATCATGACAAAAGGTTCTTTTTCCTTTTTCTTTCTTTTTTTTCCCATGGCCGTTTATGATAAGGTTACCTATATATTCAGTCATCACTAATTTCTTTGGTATTTATAGTGTCACTTTCAAGTTATGTCAGTGGTGCCACAAGGATTTGGTGTTAAATCAAACAAATTTTGCAGTTGATATTTTTTGCCCTTCTTTGTCACCTATCTTCTTGACATTGTTTTGATGTTTAAGGAGAATCAGCTAGTTACTTCAGCGAGTGTGGCCAAAATAAAATTAATATCTTGTTATTTAATTGCAGTTCTTAACAACAAGAAATCATTCTCAAATGTTTCAGGAATACAGTAGATAACTACAATATGAATCCTTAGCCTCTTTGGATGTTCCTCATCCATTACAAAATTGTTCGATTTTTAATGTCAACATTGACTAAACTTGTTTCATTGAGTGAAAAAATTGTCAAAAAATTCTCTCCTAAAAAAGTACAATAAATCGATATGAGAAAGTTGAGAAATTAAAGTATGAAATGTAGATCTTTATGTCAATGCACTTCTTCGAAATAACAAATTAAAATCTGTAATTTGCAAATTGAAGTTTGTGAAAAAAAATCATTAACATGCCTGAAACTCAAGAAAATCAAAGAGTTAGCGTCAGTTCCATATTCCCAGCAAAGCATTTTTTGGACAAAAGTAAATCAGTGTGGATATTTTACTAACTGAAGGAATATGTTCATTTTCCCACAAGATATCGAAACTTCCGTACATTTACCTCACCCCAAGCAGTTCAATTTTCATGTTTGAGTGTAGACAGTAGTGGGGAAGTTGTCTGTGCTGGATCTCTTGACACATTTGAGATCTTTGTTTGGAGTGTCAAGACTGCACGTCTTACTGAGGTATGTTACTGGCTGATCAATGTACAAATTAGAAGGGTTGTAGGGAGCAGCTGTTCTAACTCAACCTGAGGTCAGATCTCGTCAGCACTGAGAATGACTTAAGAATTTCCCAGAAATGTGCATTATTATTAAAATATGGTATTAAAACTGTTGAGTCCTCTCTCAAAAGTTCTGATGTGTATGCTGTTTTCCATACTCTTTATGAAATTTAAATGCACCAGACTAACTTATTTTTATAAAGCTGGAGGTTTAAAACTTAACATGGCATTTGACAAAGGGACTCAGATCTATGAACTGGAGTGGCAGAAAACTAAAAAGTTGCAAGTCTTCTACACATACAGGTTATAGCTGAGGGTTGGAAAAGGGGCCCTTTTTGCATTTTACAAACTGACTTTAGAGAAATTCATGCATCACATTTATAAAAGGAAAAATTTCAAATCTCTCTCCTTGGAAATCTTGAGGTTTTTGCCAAATGAAAGAAAATTTCATAGGTCACGCATTTCAGGAGGTCATTGTATTAATCAAGCCTCGCCCTGGTTCATAAATTCATGAACTATGCTCTCCTTTCTGTAAGATTCATACATCACATATTAATTTTGGCCTTAATCATGTGTCACATAATATAAAACCTTTGCCCACCCTCTTAGCTTTTTACATGTCCTCTCTTAAATGTACACTGTAACATGTTTAACAAATGAATGTAATTTGATTATTCCTTAAAAGGTTCTTTCTGGACATGAAGGACCTATTTCTGGACTAGTTTTTAGCCCATCACAACCACTGCTTATATCAGGATCCTGGGACAAAACTGTTAGGCTCTGGAATATGTTTGATAGTAAAGTTTCATGGGAAACCCTTTGTGTGGAATCTGATGGTTAGTACTAAATTATTACCCACTCAAAAAACTATATGATCTTGACAAATTTATGCTAGCAGTTTGGCAATTTACATTCATTTGACAAGCTAAGTATTTAAACCAAAATGACCTCACATAATTAGTTAACTCTAGCTTTAGTTACTTGAACCATCAGTGCAAAAAATTGAAGCCACTATCCAAAAGTGAATCATGTTTTAGGAAAACTGTGAAAAAGAAGAATCTTCCAATCAATTGTCTGTCATGCAAAAAGAGGCATTGATTCTTATGGGGTAAAATGTTTTTGTACTTGTGGTCACTGTTGGGCTTAAAATTAAGAGCTGACTTTTCTCTCTGATCTCCAACCAGAATATGGCCTCACTTTCCAAGGGTCAAGGCCTAAAAAGAAGGGCAATGGAAACTTGTCATAACCCATACAAACAGTTCTATTTTGTCACATTGTAACTTTTTGTTGTGTTCTTCAGATTTTAATGAATATTTTCAAAAACTTGATTTTCGTTGTTTGGAAAAAAATCCTAGACTTGGACCTTTCATCTGTTGAACAATGATATAATTCAAAATATCTGTAAAAGAAGAACCAATAGCTTAGCTTAAGGAGTTTGTCTTTTTTGTCTTGTAAACAGTTTCAACTGTGTGTGTGAGTCCTGATGGCACTCAGGTGGCAGTTGCTTCATTGGATTGCCGTATCACATTTTTTGACATAAGAGGAGGAGTTGAAATAGGAACAGTGGAAGGGCATAGGGACCTTGCTCTTGGAAGAAAAGCTTCAGATAAGATAACAGCAAAGTCTATGGCCTCTTCAAAGTAATGAGCATTGTACACTTTGTAAGACATTGTTATTGCGTTTATGGCGACCAAAATCTAAATTCTCAAGTTCAAGGGCATGTCGCTCCAAAACACGGTTAACGAGGTGTTTGGGACTATTTTACTGATCGAAATGATGAACCAAAGTTGACTGTTTGCACAAATCTTTATTCTTGAAAGGCAATTGACAACGAACCACAATCAATGACAAAAATAACGATTATTCTCACAGTCAATCAATCTATCGAATGATCGATCCTAAACTGAAATAACAATACAACGAAGTTCTATCAGTCTAATGAAAAGCTGCGGAATACATAATCAAAGAATCGCGTGTCAAATAACGTCTATAATGAAATTAACAATACAAGTAAAACAGTACAAAAGTTTCGAAACAAATTAAAAGAATTTTGGTGGCTGATAAACAGCCCATTGTTCTATCTAAATGATGGGCGTTCACTGACTCACAAATTGGCACGAATTTGGCCTTTAAATCTTAAATACATAGAGATGATTGCAATATTTGTTTGTATATTGTCGCCCAACACTGAAAAGACTGGAAAGGAAAAACAAAGTTACAAAGGTACTCACATATCGGTCCTGCTTGTGCCAGAGGTTGAGAAAACGAAAGGGCAAAAGTTTACCAACACTATTCAAAACTTTGGAAGAACTGCTTAAAGGGATGCTAAACTTGCCTTTTATATGCGCATGGTGACACTGAAAGGTCCGATTACAAAACCAATAGAAATAAGATCATTTTGAAATTGGTGAACTAATCAGTAATCAATCAAAAAATGAGCCTTCTGGCTAATTTTCTTAACAATTGTGTAACATGTTCCTTCCTGTAATGAATCTTCCCTAGCTTGAAATCTTTATAAAACAGTTTTTCGGTGCCTGAAATCTCTTTTGATATTAATGTTAATCAAGGGTTAAGCCATTGAGATTGAATATTGCCAAGATAGAAGACATTGAAAAAAAGTAGTGATAGCAACAGCAAAATATAATTGAATTTTTTGGTGACAGTTTCAACAGACTTAATAAATAACAGAAAATTAGTGTTTGAGCTTCCAAAATCTGGCTTAAAAAGTCGAAATACTATTTTGATGTCACAAAATTACTGTTTGCCAGAGAGTTTGTCTGGAAAGAGAACCAAATTTTCTCCTGAAAAGAAAATTTTGGGAATTGCATGACACCAAGCAGTGTTCTCAACCAGCTGATAATGTTCACTTATGCCCACAGATTTAAAAGTACTAAATTCAGAGTGAAAACAACAAAATTATGACTTTGATTGTGAAATGAAATTATGACTTTCATTTCATGTTGATGTACTTGCATACATAGCTCAAGCATAAATTGATGTGCTCTGTACTTGCATACATAGCTCAAGCATAAATTTATGTGCTCTGTAGAATAGTGATTATGCTGACAGAAGAATATAAAATGTATTAACGTCTAGGAGACATAAGTTTGAAACAACACAATGTGATTAAGTCATTTTTACAGTTGAGAAGTATTTTAAGTAGTAATTTCATGGCCATTCACACCAGATACTTCACCAGTCTAAGCTACAGTGCTGATGGAAAATGTGTCCTTGCTGGCGGGAGATCAAAGCGTGTCTGTCTGTATCATGTCAGTCAAAAGGTCAGTACCTGACTTCTATAACTTTTCCTTTGTGATCTTTATACTTAAATTTTCCTTTGAAATATTTTCATATCAATAGCTTTAATTTCTTATCTTTTAATTTATTACTTACATAGCTATTTTGAATTAATTGTTATTAGGTACCGGTAGGTCAATTGGAGGGTTTTGAAAGCCTGACATGAATAATGCACATCATTTTTTTTTTCAGAGTTAAAGGAAAAAATCACATTAAAGTATCATTTTCAAAAACTTTGCAAATTCAGACATACTTTTTGTAAAACAATTATATAATTGTTTATGATACAATTTCATTCACGTGAGGGCTTATGAGCAGCACATGACATTGGGAGCTCCACATGTTTTTGCCTATTTCTCATTAATTCTTGATTGGACTCTCCTCCATCTTCAAGCCACAGCCCTATTTACGTCCTGCTATGCCTTTTTGCTATTCCAGACAAATTTTACAGTCTATTTCGTTGCCCATCGCTATCTCAAGATTGGACCCCGGTGTATGGCGGCGATTAATTCACTTTGGCATCTCGAGGGTGAAACCTACTTGGTGTGGAACTCGTGGTGGTCGAAGGAGATCATGCACTCCTCCTTCCTCTACCACTTTCCTGCATCGTACTAATAATTTCTGCACCATTCCTTCTCTGGAATCAACATTTTGTTCACCAACGGTTGGAAATTTACCGGAAAGACGTGATTTGCATATTCCTCCTCCGTCTCAATTAAATATTCAACTTGACACCTTTCCCATCGGCTTGATAAACAATCAACCTGTCACGGCAATCGGATCGCAAAATCGCCATCACACCTCAAGTACGGCACCCCGAGGCCGTAATCCGTCCAATATCTCCGTGTTAAACTGTCGACCGCGACGAGAGAAACACAAGTTTGGCATGAACATCTTACTAGCAAACACACAGCTGTTAGCGCCTAAAATCGACGAAGTGTGATCTGTGATGTTGGACGTAAAGCCTGATTTAGGTTTCTTTACAGAAACTTGGTTACGTCAGACCATCAGTGACAGCCAAGTTAATATTCCTGGTTACTCGTTTCCATGGTGGTGTAGGACTTTACATCCATGATTCCATCAAATTTAAACCGCTCGATAAATTTTCGGACCCTGATTTTGAGTCACTTTGGGTGTGGCTTAGGCCAAGGAGGCTGCCTAGAGGATTCCCCTGCCTGGTTGCTGGTACTGTCTACCACCCACTGTTAGGTGTTAACAATAGTGGTATGCTTAACCACCTTACTACTACACTGACTGACATTGTGGGCCAGTATCCCGGTTGTGGTATACTCATGTGTGGTGATTTTAATCAGTTGAGCCTTAGCAGCGTCAGATCGCAGTTCAAGTTGAAGCACATTATTGATAAGCCAGCCAGAGGCGATAAGATACTGGACCTCATTTTGACCAACTTGTCACATACATATGATGAGAACGTTGTTTACTACCTGCCACTGTTTGGTCTTTCAGATCATAACGTGGTCATCCTCCGCACTAAAAAGAGGCCATCCTGCGCTGGGCCTAGCAGCAAGTTAATTTCAAGGTGTGACACACATGCTAGTAGGAAAGCCGAACTAGGACAGTTCTTTTCAGCTGTTGATTGGTCCATTTTGGATTCTGCCCCTAACAATGATGATCGCTCTAGACAACTGTGTGACACCATCACTGCAGGACTGGACGCTATCATGCCCGCAGTGAAATCTGAGGTTCATCTTAATGACCCTCCGTGGATTACTCCTGAATTTAAGACTCTAATCGCCAAGCGTCAGCAAGCTTTTATGTCTGGGGATTTAGCCAGCTTTCGTCACCTTCGAAATACTGTTAACCAGGAGCAGAAAACTCTTCGTGAGAGGTTTTTTGCTTCTAAAGTTGAACATCTAAAGAACACCAAGCCCTCCCAATGGTGGGGGGAGGTCAAGTGTATCGCTGGGATGACCCATGCGTCAGGTTCTTACAGTCTGCATTCGCTACTCCACGTTGAGGGACTGGATCACCATCTTCCAGACTGTGATGTCGCAAACGCTATCAATTCTGCCTTCCTGGACCAAATGTAGTCTTTTTTGCCACTCCATGCTACTCCACCCTTCGAAGCGAACTCAGCGGTGGTAACCATTTCTGAGGTCGATGTTTTGATCATAATCAGAAAGTTGAACCCCCGCAAGGCTGCGGGTCCCGATGGGATACCTAGTTGGGTGTTTAGGGAATATGCTGACTTTATAGCTCAGCCATTGACTTCCATCCTTAATTGTAGCTTTGCTGAGCAACAACTTCCCCATCTTGGAAGCTGGCGGATGTGGTACCCATTCCTAAACAGTAACCTGTCAAAGTAATCAACAAGCACTTACGACCCATTTCCCTCACACCAATAATTTCCAAATTAGCCGAAGAATTCATGGTATCTGCGTTCATCGGTCTGGCTGTGTTGAAAATTATCGATCCCGACCAGTTTGGAGCCTTACCAAAATCCTCCACGGCCCTAGCTCTGACGTCCATGCCCCATCACTGGACGCACGCAACTGATGGCATGGGATCTGCAGTCAGGGTGGTCCTGTTTGACTACCGCAAAGCTTTTGACTACATTGACCATCAACTGCTCACTCACAAAATTTACAGTCTTGATATCCCTCGGGGTGTAGCACGTTGGGTAGTCGATTTCTTAGTGCATCGCTACCAATGCGTAAAATTATCTGCTGATTGTTTCTCTGAGTGGGGCCACGTACCAGCTGGTGTACCTCAGGGGACAAAATTGGGGCCATGGCTCTTCTTGCTAATGATAAACGATCTAAGAATTCACCAGGTTCAAACTTGGAAGTACGTTGGTGACACGACGGTGGCAGAGATCTTCCTGCGTAACGCAGTAGGTGAGGCCCAAACTGCTGTTAAAGTGGTGGAGTATTGGTCCAAAGCACAGAAGACGCAGCTTAATGCTGACAAATGCAAAGTTATGGTCATCGACTACAAAAGGCAGAAACGCCATTTCACTCCCCTCTCCGTAGATGGCAAAGAATTAGAGACGGTAGAGTCGGCTAGGATCCTAGGTGTGACTATTTCGTGTAACCTTAAATAGAATAACCACATCAATGATGTTATAAAAAGAGCAAATAAACGATTATACGTTTTAGTCCTCCTGAAGAGAGCCCGCGTTCCAGAAGATGACATAATTAATTTCTATTGTTCAACTATACATCCTGTTCTGGAATACTACGCACAAATATTCCATCATGCGTTACCTGCGTATCTTAGTGATGACATTGAAAGGGTCCAAAGACGCGCATTATTTCACCAGAACTGTCATACGATGACTCTTTAGAAAGGCACAGTTTAGCTTCGTTCTATGACAGATGCATGAAATTATTTACGGATCTGTTTTTGTCTGTCTCAAATCCATCTCACAAATTATATAATTTGCTGCCAGATAGGTATCTTTCAGCTTATAATACTAGACACCAGCGCGTTTTTAACATGCTGCGCTTTTGCACTGATCATTTTAAATCTTCATTTATCCCGGCTATGTGCACGTGTGCTAACCTAGATTTTTAGCTATTCCATTGCTGTATATTAGTTATATTAGTAATTTTATTTAGGTCTTAGCATTTTTGTAATTGGTAGTCTTATATAGTCTTATATAATCAATGATTGTGAAAAGCACGCAATTCAGCCTATGGCTGCAATGCATTTTATTTGGTAATAAACTATCTATCTCAACTATCTATCTCAGGTACCTAACTTGTAAAGAGACTGGTGCAAAGAAGTTTCCAATCTGGCAAAAGTTTTTAAAAAAATTAATTTATAGCTACATATATGTTTAGAGCACAGGAATTGTGGTCATTTGGAAAACAGAATTGTGATATTTGATCAACTTGAGATGCTCACTGTAAGGCTTGTGGCTTCTTGTCACCAAGGTTATCACTCTACCAAAAAATGGAATTGGTTCACTCACAATTTTACTTCTTTGTACATTTTTTAAGTATTATACCCTTTTTAAAGGATTAAAACATCTAGAATTATCATTTTATTTTGTAACAGATGTTGATAAAACAATTTGACATTTCTGGCAACCTCTCTTTGGATGGCATGAAGGTAAAAATGGAACCATGTTAGATAAAGAGCCAGGTATTTCTTTTAGCAGTTGGTAGGGGTTTTAGTAGGATTCAGAGCCGGATTTCATCATTACATGTATTTGGCACTCTTGTACAGCTTACCCATGGCTCGAAGAACTTATCCCATTGGGGGGGGGGGAGGAGTCAGAGCCTTAAATTGGCATCTAAAATACACATATCTTATTAGATGTTTTGTTGTGTAGTATTGCTGAGTATTTTTACTCGTTATTTGTACTTTGACTTGCCCTACGGGCTCATCAAAATACGACACAATAATGAGAATGATACTACACAACAAAATGCCTAATAAGATATATTTATTTACAGAAATATATATAAGGCTAGGATCATCTGATGTAAAACTTGCTTCCTGTAGGCAAGCAAGCACATATTTGAGGCAATGTGAAATAAATTTTGCACAGAGTCCGAATTTATGGGAAGTAAAGCATAAATCTTGGGAAGGAAAGTTAGGGAGTAAGTGGATTTACCTTGATAAGACTGTTCTTGCATTTGAAAGCATTGAAATGTTACAAGTTTGTAATCAATGAAATGCATATTACCCTCTCTTTTGACAAAGAGGAGCTTGTTGGAGATATCACATCAGATATGCTGTATGCTCTGTCTATTCAGGAGTTTCTCCACAGTGGTAACATGACAGAAGCAGGACCCATAGGCCTAATTGATGATAAAAGTGACATTGATCTAACCCCAACTCTTCCGGGTGTTTTGAAAGGTAACTTGTGTAGATGTGCAAAACCAGTTCTAGTTCATGCTACCACTATCATCTCCTTGTGAGTTTTAGGCAATTTGTTTTTCATTTTTATTATTTACTATAATGATGGTAATCATGATAATCATGTAATTGCAATAAGCACTAAGCACTCATAAAAAGATGTCTTTGCCATCAGTTCAAAACTGCAGAGACAGCTAGAGTTCCTTAATTGTTTGTAAAATAGTATTCACCATACAACATTGTTTTTTGGGGGGAAGGGGGCAAATAGTTAACAAGGGCAAAAGAGATTAAATTGAAGTAACTGAGGGTGGAAAAGGTCAATGTGTCATGATTGTATGTTGAATTCCTTTTGATTTCCTGGAATATTTTAGGCTTCTTGAACACTTAAAACATAAATGAGCTTGGAATCAGATGGTCTGAGGTGCATTTCCTTGTGGAAAGTTAGAATTATTTCTCTGTCCCATGCATTAAATAAAACAAGAAAAATCCTCCCCATAACATCAGTGACTTGTAGCTCAAATAGTTACTGTCAATCAGAAGTTGATTGTGATAAACAACCATAGGAAAGTTTGAAAAACTGGTATTTGAGTTCCAGCCAAAACCTGGTGTTTTATTTGCTATCTACTTGGAGAAGAGTTTTCAAAGAAGTGTGTTGCCTTATTTTCAGGTGATATGAGCTCTCGCAGACTTCAGCCGGAGATCAGAGTGAACTCACTGCAGTTTTCACCCACAGGTACTGTACCTGCAGATGTTGTTGTTTGGCATGTCCTCCTTTTTCCCAACTTCCTTGTTGTAAGGAATTGTGGCTGTAATCTGATTGGGATAACCTCTCATTGAGAGTTTCAGTCATTGTGTAGAGTTTAAATGACTGCATGATCAGTGGATTTTATATTAGAGTTACACTCTGTAGGCTAAAGTAAGAGTTGATAGGCACCAGATGTTCAACTCCAAAACAAAAACCATGAATGTGGCAGACAGAAGGACAGAGTTAGGTGCCATGCTGAACAATGTCAGCAACATTGGGATGCAGGAAAAGAAATTTGTGTAGCTACCTTATCGGGGAGTTTTTCAAAGAAACAAATGGTTGTAAAATTACATTGATATGACTACCTTTTGGTTTCATTTTCATTTAGTAGACTTGACAAATTTGGTTGATCATTAGCAGCAAATGACCAAAAAAAAATTTTAGTCTGTCATCAACACAAATGGGTTGAAACAACTTTTTCATCTCTACCAAATCACCAAACTATAATCTCCATTCTTGCTGTATGGCAAACTTGAGTTTGCTCTCTCACTACATCACATCGTGGCTTTTTTCCAAATGCACCTGTTTTATTGCCCAACCCATCATTACCATTGATTTTTATTTCAAGACTTATTTAATTTTACTCTTCCACCGTATTTTCTCTGTTTGGTATGTAGGCCAGACCTGGGCTGCAGCTAGTTCTGAAGGGCTAGTGGTATATTCACTAGAGTCTCATGATTTGTTTGATCCATTTCAATTGGAATGCAACGTCACCTCTGAGAGGATCTGTCAAGCTAGTAGTAACAAAGAACATACGAAGGCCCTAATTCTAAGCCTAAGACTTAATGAGCCAGAACTTATTTGTCAAGTTATGGAGGCAGTTCAACCTTGTGACAGTAAGTTTTAATGGTGTTATTCTTATCCCGTATAAGTATGATTAAATACGGATACTAGATTGCATTGACCAGAAAGTCTCAAGACAAGAAATTTTGCTAAGATTTACTTTGGGATTTCTTAATTTTAGTTACACCCTTTGAGCTGTTCGGTATTACTAGTAGGAACATGTTGTTGACAAGTTCGTTTGTCTTTGCTTAACATATAGTTCCACTGGTAACACAGTCCTTAAAGGAGCCCTTTATCGAACGACTGATGCAGTTTATTGTTGTACAATTGGATGAGTCACGACATCTACATTTTTATCTTTTGTGGTGCCATTATATGTTAACTGTTCACGGACAAAAACTGAAAACACTGGCTAGTGGACAATCTGTTATGTTGCGCAGCCTACAAAAGAGTCTCGTGAGACAACAAGAAAACCTTAACAAGATGTAAGTAGCTTTCTTTTATGTATTCACATACGCGTGAGATAACTGTGATGCTTGTTCACTTAGTAGTGTTTGGAAAAATGATAACTTGCTCATTGTTCATAAAAATTTTTGCACAAGCCCTTTGATGGGTGAGATATAGAGACAGTAATCAGTCTTTTCATCTGTTGTTGTTGTTGTTGCTGTTGTTGCTGTTGTTGCTGTTGTTGTTTTTCTTTTTCTTTTAACAGTTACTTGGGGTCCTGAGACCGGGTTCACGAGACCTCTCGTGAAAGGATCATCTGATAGCAACCAACTCTCTATTAGGCCAGACCCTGGGCTGTCTCTGGGGGGGGCTTGACGCAGAATCTAACGTTAAAGTTTTAGATCAACCAGTAGAAAAGGCATTTCTAACCGTAATTGGATTTTTTTGCGTTTTTTACCTTGTCCAGTGATTGGAAATGCCGAAAAAAGGGAGAAAGAAAACATGCGAAGCTCCACTCTAGTCTTCCCAAAGTCTCTTAATTTCAGATGTTTTAGCTTGTTTTACTTTAAACACTCTATTCATCGATAAAATTTATCGATGGGACGTTTCATAGACTCTGATTTTTTTTTATCATAGTTCATCGAGTAACACTTACGCCCTCACCTACATAACGGCCTTTGCTGACATGCTTAAGTCCAACACTGCCACTGATCGCATGCTGGAAAAACCATCGATGCTTGTGAATAATGGCGACAAGAGACTGAACGAGAATGAGCTTCAACTACCAATCAAACATAAACCCCTCTGAAAACATAAAAAGCACGCATTTATTTGCTGACGGATTATTTCAGAGTTTTTTTTAGTGTTAATTTTTTTAGTTTTTTTTTTCTGTTTGTTTTGTTGTTGTTATCGTCGTTGTTGTTGTTGTTGTTGTTGTTGTTGTTGTTGTTGTTGTGGTGGTTGTGTGTGTGTATATGTATATGTATGTATCGGCAAATCAGATGTAATGCTACGGATAAGCTTGGCGTCTTACTACAGTCTTATTACTTACTATTCATCAGTTAGCTAGACCCTGATTTTCCAAGCATTGATTGAATGGATGAAACTAGAGAAATTCGTTCAGTGTTATCCACCGTAGATTCTTGTTTTCTGAGATTCTCATTCTCATTTTTAGTACAAACATTATAAAAACAGTATAAACAAAATCTGTCAATTGGTGTTAATTCTAGTTCCAGTCGTCTTCCATGTGGAATATTTCTGTTACCAGAGTCTCTCCGAGTAATTTTAAAAATCATCCTCTCATTAAATATTCTTTGAAAACTGTGCTGAAACTGTATAGAACTTTCAGGATCGTTATCGACCGAGAGCTTTCCTCCTAGAAATACTGCGATATCAGTCATATTGCTTTGGCGATATTTTGCTTGAGAATTCAATAGCCTTTATCGCGCTCATTACCTCTCGCTGACAGGCGAACGAATCCGCCGATTGCGTTTCCTCTGAGGACTCTGAGAGGGACAACTCAAAAGTTTGTGTGTGCAAGTATGCTATTCACTATAAAATCCTGGGTTGTGGTTACGACATGCAACTGAGTTCGTTTTCCAAACCGCTTATCAGTATCGCCTACTTTGGTAATTACTTTCAATAATTGTTGGTTCCTATACAAGCCCCTTTTTAATTTATTTTTACAAGAACGGTTTATAACTTCAAGCCAAAGGTTCACAAAGAAAAATAAAAACAGGCCTTCGGGAACAGCCTGGCGGTTTCCGGTTCTTGTTCTGCTCTTTCCCTAGTTTGAACATTTTAACCCCGGAGTTTTCTGTACTTTTTGCGCGGGATCCACCCTAGCTTTCGCTGAGAAACTGATGAACCAGATAGATAGTCAGATCTCTTTCCAAATCTGGTAGCAAGCCTTTGTGCTAAAGAAAGTGAATCTTCGAGCAGTTAAAGAGGCGATAAACATTATAAACTGTTAAAACTTCGAGAAGGTTAAGCAAGGGCGCTGTTATTTTGTTGCTAAATATAAGTGAGAAAAAATGTAAGCCATCGAGCATGGATTTACTAAACAAATACTTTCTTTATTTGAGATTTCTTCGCGCCTCCCCAAGATGATGTAGCCAAAAAGCGTTCATGTTAGGTCCATATCACGTCCCAATAACCAATATCCATTAATACTAAGTAATATAACATTCATGTATGTTGTACCATATATCCTAGCAAACCTTGTTTTATCAGTTATCTTCATCTTCTTCGAGTTACCCTTGTTCTACCTCACTAACCCCCGTCTACCCTAAGTTACCCGTGTTTTACCACATTGACTCATCTACCCAAATTTGCCCATGTTCTACCACATTAACCCTCATCTACCCAAGGTAACCCATGTTCTACCACATTAACCCTCATCTACCTTAGGACAAGGTAACCCATGTTTTACCACGTTTACCCCCATCTACCTACCCTTGGTTAACCATGTTCTACCACGTTATCCCCCATCTACCCTAGGTTAGCCACGTTCTACCACGCTTACCCTCATCTGCCCTTGTTTAACTATGTTTTGCCATGTTCACCCTCATCTACCCTAGGTAACCCATGTTCTATCACGTGTACCCCCATCTACCCTAGATTGACCATGTTCTACCACGTTAACCTTCATCTACCCTAGGTAACCCATCTTTTACCACGTTTACCTCCATCTACCCTAAGTTAACCATGTTCTACCACGTTAACCCTCATCTACCTAGGTAACCCATGTTCTACCACGTTATCCCCCATCTACTCTAGGTTAGCCATGTTACACCTCGTTTACCCCCATTTACCCTACGTTAGCCATGTTCTACCGCGTTTACCCTCATCTACCCTTGTTTAACTATGTTTTGCCACGTTCACCCTCGTCTACCCTAGCTAACCCATGTTCAACCACGTGTACCCCCATCTACCCTAGGTTAATCATGTTCATCCACGTTAACCCACATCTACCCCAGGTAACCCATGTTCTACCACGTTTACCCCCATCTACCCTAGATTTATCACGATCTACCACGTTAACCCTCATCTACCCAAGGTGACCCATGTTCTACCACATTTATCCCCATCTACCCTAGATTGACCATGTTCTACCACGTTAACCCTCATCTACCTCAGGTAACCCATGTTCTACCACGTTTACCCCCATCTACCCTAGATTAACCATGTTTTACCACGTTAACTCTCATCTGCCGTAGGTTAGCCATGCTACACCTCGTTTACCCCCATCTATCCTAGGTTAGCCATGTTCTACCACGTTAACCTTTATCTACGCTAGGCAACCCATGTTCCTCCACGTTTACCCCCTCAACCCTAGGTTAACCATGTCCTACCACGTTAACCCTCATCTACCCTAGGTAACCCATGCTGTACCACGTTTACCTCCATCTACCCTAGATTAACCATGTTCTACCACGTTAACCCTCATCTACCCTAGGTAACCCATCTTTTACCACGTTTACCTCCATCCACCCTAAATTAACCATGTTCTACCACGTTAACCGTCATCTACCTAAGTTACCCATGTTCTACCACGTTCACCACCATCTGCCCTTGGTTAGCCATGTTACACTGTGTTTACCCCTGTCTAGCCTAGGCTAGCCATGTTCTGCCACGTTAACCCTCATCTACCCGAGGTAACCCATGTTCTACCACGTTCACCCCCGCTCATCTACCCTGGGTTAGCCGTGTTACACCTCGTTTATCCTTATCTACCGTAGGGTAGCCATGTTCTACCACGTTTACCCCCATCTACCCTAAGTTACCCATGTTCTACGCTGTTTACTCCCATCTACCCTAGATTAGCAATGTTCTACCCGTTAACTCTCGTATATCCTAGGTAACCCATGTTCTTCCACGTTCACCCCTATTTACCCTAGTTTAGCCGTGTTATGCCTCGTATGAATGATGGCTTATTATTTATCGAAGCAAACAAACCATGGATTTAGAGGCGTATTGAACAACAAGTTGACGGCCTATAAAGGTAACTTGGAATCTATAAAAGGCTGAGGGGATCAGAATTCTTATCGTCGACAGGAACTCCGCAAATACGTGGACCATGGACAAATTATTATTCGTTTTTGTTTACAAGTGTAATAAAAGTTATAAATCTAACTGATGTTGAGCCATCTGCGGAAAACTTTTCCTTATTATACACTTTTGTAATCATGATTAGGTCAAAATTATCAGTGTAAAAGGCCGTAAATCTTTCATCTGGAGAAGCTGCACAGATAGCTGCCAAGTTATCATCGCACATGCAAAAAAAAAAATTCAATTTGCGCTCGTCTCAATTCGGACCAACATGATAAGTGCACTGCTCGATTCCTTTTCCGCTACGATGCCTATATCGCCTGGGTTCGCCTCAGTTACAATCTTAAAAATGACCCCCTCGCACTTCTTAAACTTGCTTAACTTTTGAAAATTGGGAAAAGAAGCGTTAAGTAGCGCTTCCAAAATAGATTGAAAAAAACTTTAAATTTTCCTTTATTTTCCTCTGAATGGAAGAGAAGATAAAACCCTTGAGCAACCCTTATAAAGCTGTGCTTTATGCATGCTGTTCCCATAGACTTAATCCTATTTTTTTCACCCTGTACATCTCCGTTGCTTCTTTCTTTTCAGCGTAACATCGCTCGTTTATCGTTTTATCGTGTAAAAAGCTCTTGAAGTAATAATTTGCCTTGAGTGTAATAGGTTTCAGGTAATTTGGGATTTGATGGACAATATAATGGACTAGAAATTCGATTGACAACGCACTTGCTAAAGAATTTGTTCATTATTTTTTCGGGGGAAACAGATGCCGAACTAAAGTGCATTTCGCAAAATTTTAGATTAGAAACCTTTGGAAGGGTGACGGGGTACTTAACGATAACAAAAATCCCACTTCGAGCATTTATGTAGTTAGTTTACCC